CCGAAATTACATTTATAAAAATACCTTCTATCACACTTTCAATCGCAGACTCGAATTTTAATCATAATTTTAATTGGAAAGAGACTGAGATTTTAGACAGACAGTTTTCTTTTGAGAAGAGAACTTTTCTTTTGAAAGAGATTTGTCTCGAAGATGTTTATTAAGCTATAGAAAAATAGTCTGTAGAATCTACAGAATGATATGAAGGGTTTGCACCATGCTTTTGCGACAATAGTAAATAATTTACCAAAAATTTAAACTTGTTGCGCTTATCCTTTTCTTAATTGTTTTTTACGATTCATCTTGTTGAGGACATTCATTTCTCAAATCACCATGCACATATACACAACAGGAGTGAGTCTCGATTACGCACATTCTGTTCGGATACGACATTTCCCGATCGGACAAAAACCCAATCGGATATGAAATTATATAATAATAGATTACGTTTCGCATTGAAAGCATAGAGCGGTGTGAATTGAACTTCATTTCACGTGTAAAGTTGCAAACTCGTGTGGAGCCGTACAATAATAGACTTCGTTTCGCATTAAAAGCACAGGGAGAAAGCATGTGTCCAATCGGGACTGTGTCTAATCAGATCTGTGCCGATCGGGAAATGTCGTCGTGCCCGACGGGAATGTGCGCAATTGAGACGATCCTCACAACAGCGGTTTGTATGTCTTCAATTAATTTGTGCAGACTAAACACAGATTCTGATGAGTTATTCTTCTATCTTTTGAATTTGATTTCTGTTTAATGACTTTTCGCATTCCTGCCTTTTACTCCGATGTAAAAACAATGGATATATATCGGAATTTATCAAGTTAAAGCATATTATGAATTAACATTAGTATAATAAGTAGAAACATTAGTATAATAAGTAGAACTGTTCGAAGGAACGGACCAGATTACTGCAAAATGCGAAAAAAATTAATATATTATAATTTTATGTATTATTATTCGATATTTGTTAACATTAATATTGAAGTTAAGCTGAAGATAGACCAAACAAATGATCCGAAACATTTATATTTGATTTATATTTTCAAGAAAATGAATATTTTGAAATATATCGATAAATAAAAGAAAAAAGATGATTTTTCGATAAAACTTTAGAAAAAGACACCAGGGTCGAATCGTCTTGACCTTGATATATGTTGTCAAAGTCATTATCCTGAATAACATTCAAAAGATATTAGCCATCGCTCGTTGTTTATTAAAAAGTTATTAACAAAAGCGTATGTACAACATGCGACTATACGAATTTCTAAGCAATATTGATTTGACTTCTAAGAAGGTTAAGGTTAACTTTCCATGCAAAGCGAAGTGCAGCCCACACCACCTCTAACAAGGGAAGTGCACGAAGTGTTAATCGCGAATGGATATGTGTTATATATCATTTGAAAGGTCTTATCAAGCTAAATTCATGCAATATTTCGCTTGAATGGCGCCTTTAGAGGGCGCTATGCGCAATGTAAGTTATGGAGCTAGACTGGCTTCCCTACTCCAAAATATCAAGTAGCGGCCACAATAAACATATCAATGTTCAAGGTTGCAAATATTTAATTAATTTCGTTTTTTAATTAATCGTTTAATTAATAATTAAGTTTTAATTATCAATTAAACTAGCCCGTAATTGATAATTGAAACGACGGTTTCAATTATAAAAAAATTTAATTTGTAATTGAAAATTTTAATTATCAATTAAACTTGTCAATAATTTTAATTGATAATTAAAAAAACAAAGGTTATTATTTAATTATAGGAATTTTTAAGGTGTAATTAAAATTTTTAATTAATTATTAAAAATCACAATTTAAAAAATTTGCAATCCTGCCAATGCTATGTACTAGTACTGCCTACTGCTATGAATTAATGTGACACCAAGTCTCATAAGTTTTTTTCCTTTTGGAAAATCAGCTGTCAATCCAATTTCTAATTTCATAGCATACATTACGTTTTTTGAAATAAAAAAGCTCTATTTACTTTCCAAGTGCAGATTTTCAAAGCTTTAAAGCTTTAATACAAGATTTGTTCGTATATTTTTTGCATTTTTTCTTTTTTTGCGTTATTGCTGTTTCTTTGTTTTTTATATTCTGCAAAATGGCTATTAGGGCATTAAAAATATTTGAACTTCTCAAGCAGAAACTTGTAAATTATGTCATTATTGAGGGCAACCCATCTCGTAAAGAGATTCAATTAGCGGAGAGAATCATGTCCATGGTCAATTGCATGGATAATGAAGACCAATTTGAGTTTGAAATAATTAGAAGTATATACTGATACCATTTTTGAAAATGACAAAGTTGAGCCAATTTATGAAGAAGAAAACTTACCTTTCAACGAAGCTTTTATACCTCTTGAATATGCGCGGTGTGTTGTAAAAACATGTAAAGAGCATCTAAAATGGTCTTTTAATACAATTAAAGCTCGATTCTCCAAAATAAAACGTTCTATTTACATAAGTAGATGCAAAGATATGAATATGTTGAACAGCAGTGTACACATCGGGAAAAATGGTTATCTATAACAAAATATTGTTTAGAATAGTTCATGCAGGCCCGCTTGGAAGGAATTCCAGTTCATGATCAAACTATTCGACGATGGGCTTTGTACCATGCTAAAATAATTGGATTGACAGATTTCAAAGCGTCATTGCAATGGGTCAATAAATTTAAGGAAAGTTTTGGTTTTTCATCTAGAAAAATCGGTTTATTTACTTTTGTCAAGAAACAATGTGAAGCCGAGTAAACTATGGATAAAGGCGTCGAATTTCATCTCGATTTTGTTGATAATATTTATTCAAATTTTGATACAAGTAAAATACTCAATACCGATCAATCAGGATTTAACTACACACCACTTTCTAATCGCACACTATCAATAAAAAATGAAGAAATTACAACAGTTGTGCCTCAATTAAATACTCGAACTCATTCTTATACTATCCAACCGGTTCTTTCTATGGAGGAAAAATTGATGCCAATGCTGATTTGTCTCCAGGAAGTTAATGGTCAATTTCCTACAACCATACAACTTCCCAATTACGAAAATCTCGTAATTCGATGTTCCAAATCTGGCAAATTAAACAAGGAGCTTGTAAGAGACTTCTTTCAAAATGTTTTTAAACCCATTGTTGAACAAAATTCAGAAAAAAGGCTGTTCTAGTAGTAGATTCATGGGGCGCTCAAAAGTCGGACAAACTTTATCAAGATGATAATGTTATTGTTTTATTAAAAGTTTTATCAGAAGGTTCCACAGGTTTCATGCAATCACTCGATATATTTTGTTTTCATCAATGAAAAGATTTTATCAAACGTTTCACGGAACACGCTTTTCTTACAGGAAATCAAACTCTTTTGCACAGACGTGAAAATATATTAAAAATACACAGCTTGATTTTAAACCAATTTCAATCTATCAACCGATGTTCAGGTATGCATGATTTAAAGGCGGGTTTGATGTTCCGTATATAGAGTTCAAAGGATTGAAAGATATAAACTTTTCTTTTGGAGAACCCATTTGCCAGATTTGTAATCGATATCCTACTTGCATCAAGTGTTCATATGATTTTTGTAGTAAATCTCTTTGCTACAATTGCTTTTTTGAACGTTACCATTAGCATTAGTTTGCAGCTCTTTTTATTTTTGTTTCTAAAATGAAAAATGGAATATATATTTTTGTAAAATTTTAATATTATTAGTTTCTTGATTTTCTTTTTTCTTTACTTTGTTTTTGTTTTTAAGATAAAATATAAAGTGCAATTTATGTTATATTAAATAAAGTATCTTATTACTAATAACTTTTTGGTTTTTGGGCTTTGTGTACTTTTAAAATATAATAGAAAATGCAATTTATGTTCTATTAAATAAAATATCCTAAATAAAACTTATACAATTGATTATACTAGAGCCCTTTTATTTGATATCATTTTTGAAGCAAAAACTCCAATCAGCTTTTATAGAAAAATAATTATGTAATTTATATTGCGTATAGCGCCCTCTAAAGGCGCCATTCAAGTGAAATATTGTACACATGAATTCAGCTTGACAAGACCTTTTAAATGATATATAACACATATCCATTCGCGATTAACACTTCGTGTACTTTCCTTGTAAGTCAGCGCGAAACGAGGTCTATTATTGTATGGTTCCACATGGGTTTGCAACTTTCCATGCGAAACGAAATCTATCCCACACTAGCTCTGAGTCAGTGCGAAATCTATGGTTCCTCGCTTCGTATGGAAAGTTGCAAACACATGTGAAACCATACAATAATAGACCTCGTTTCGCGCTGATTCAAGGGTAATGTGGGGTGGACCTCGCTTTGCTTAGAAACTTAAAATAATCTTGATCTTCTTAGAAATCAACATTGCTTAGGAATTCATATAGTCGCATATGTTGCATATAATTCATGGAAATTCGTTTGATAATAAAGTAATAAACAACGAGTGACAGCTAAAATTTTTTAAATATTACTCAGGACAGTGACCTTGACAACATATGGCAAGGTCAAGATGATTCGACCTTGGTGTCTTTTTCTAAAATTTTACCCATATTTAATTTCTGCTATCTGTATCTAACAGACTTTGCTCAATATTTGTTATATTCTATTAGATAAATAGTAAATAATGCTCAATTTTTATTTTCTTTTTTTTATATATTATATTGACAAAAAACATTGTGTATTGCCAAAATGTATGTGTATTGCCAAATTAAGCTTAATCAAAACATAGCATATTTTAATTTGCTATAAAGTTATGATTGAATTTGTTGCTAATATTTTTCTGTTTGAATATATTTACATTTGATTAATATAAATTAATTAAAAATCATTAATTTGTTTGCCGAATATAACAAAAAATTAATAACCAATCACACACTAAATTTCCTTGCTTGTGATGCGTGCATGCATATTCATTATTTCTTATATTATTTATTTTTTACATAATTATAGATATTATTAATAATATCTTAAAAAGATACATTGAACGATTTTAGGTCACTTCCCAATCGGTTGTCAGAGCGAGGTTAGATGGATGTTCGGACATTTGGACAGTGACAACGATAGTCGTCTTTCACTCTCCGAGTTGTATGGTCTAGAACATGACCAGAATGAACCATGTTTGAAACCATTTCTGGATAGTTGCGATACAGACAGGTAAAGATAATATCTTATTTACACAATGATATCTTATTTAATGATAATTTAATCTTATTTAAATGATATATTATTTACACAAGAAAGTAAATTTTATTATCATGTGCATACACGTATAATCGCAAAATTTAATTGTGATATTTTTAAAATTTTTCTTGGATGAACAATGAATGAGTTAATTTCAATGGATGAATTTATGTATAACAATACGTAGATATATCTTTAACAATTTTGTGAAATAAGTTTTAGAGATTTTAAAAATTAGGAAAGTTTAGTATACCTATATACTGGGTCTTCAAAAAGTCCCGGAATGCTAAAATATCTCGAAAACGATCAACTATAATGAAAAATATGTAGGAAACAAAGTTGTAGGACTAAATAAAATGTACCTAATGATGATAAGAATTTTACCTTGGATGAAATACTCAAGGTCATATGAAGGTCAAGTTGATTTTTTTAAATGGAACTCCCCATTTTTTATTAGATATTCTTATAGCTTATCTCGAGAGCTTTTCAAAACCTCTAATTAAGTTAGTTTTCATTAAGTACTTTCCGAGTTATGAGGCTTGAAATCGTTTCTTAATTTTACATAAACCGTAAAATATCTTGTAAAATATTCATTTTTCAATTATCTTACCTTTATACTTTTATGTACAAAATAATGAGAGTAATCAATTGGTGTAAAGAAAACATACAGTTGTTATTTATTTGATATTTTTCATTATAGTTGATCGTTTTCGAGATATTTTAGCGTTCCAGGACTTTTTGAAGACCCTGTATATAAAAATGTCTAAAATAAAAATCATAAGAGTTATAACAATTATATATAGGAAAATTATATATATTCTTTGAGGGAAAATTTTTTTTGGAGGTATTAATATAATTGAAAAAATGATGCTAAATATAAAAATAATAAATATATAAAATAAATTAGATATATAGATATCAATTTGCAAATGATAACTGCAAAGACTGTATTAATATGTATGCATATAATATATGTATATATAAAGTATTTATATGTATATATAAATATTTATTTAATGACTCCCTTCTCCCTTTTTCTCTCTTTCTCTCTCTTTTTTTTCTCCTTTCTATTTCTTATTCTTCTCCTTCTTTTCTACATTATACGTGTTTATTTATTTTTAAGATTTAAAGAATTTGTTGTACTAAATTAATTAAAAGAAATAGATTGGAAATAAGAAATGTGAATCAGAGACAAACAATACAAGCCTGAGACAATACAATTTCGTAGATCAAGAAGTGTGAAAGAATGTGAAAAAGTATGTTTTATGGAGGAATGGAATCAAGCGGTAGTGACGCCAAGTACATAAAATACAGGACCCGAGTATTGAGAGTCACTGTTCTCGATGCGGCGCTACCAGTACCTTATCTGGAATTTCACGTGAAGTAATCTTTCGGTTAAGATATTTAATAAGATATTTAATATAAATTAAAGCCACAATCAAAAATCTAACGACACTTTTATTATAAAATGTGAATATAAGTTTTCGATTGCGACCAGTTTAAATAAAATCGGTGCAGTCAATCCTGAGAAATGATGATCGAATATCAGAATTGTGACATTTTTCGTTTCTTTCCTTCTTTTTCAGATTTAGATTCACGTACATATGCTCGTACGCACACACGCAAAGCGAGTTTGTCTCAAGCGGCACCGTACATATACGATTATTGCTTCAATGTGCCAATGCTTTAAGAAACAAAATCATATGTGTGCATGTGCGTGTATACGTGATATATTATGTATGTGTGTACGTGCGTATGAAAGATTAATCTAAGTATAGTAAAAATTTTCAAAAACCACCTCTTTGAGATTGAATTTAATAACTTAGAAACGGAGCCGTAAAAATACAGAACTTCTGCTGTTAAATAAAATTAAAAAAAAGTAATTTGTCATATAGTAACAATTTTCAGAAACCATCCTTTATAAAAGTAAATTTCGAAAACCATCCTTTGAGGATGAAAAATAATATCTCGGAAATGATGTCACAGAAATATGGAATTTACGTCGTTAATTGAGGTTTCTACAAAGACTATTTTATTGTATAACAATTTTTAAAAATCATCCCTGGAGGTGAAATCTAATATCTCAAAAACGGTGTACCACAAAATATAAAACCTATGCGATTCGATAAGACTTATAGAAAGAAAGACTAAATTAATGTAGAGTGACGAATTTTAAAAACTAGCCCTTGGGGATGAAATCTGATATCTCAGAAATGGTGTACTACAAAAATATAAAACCTATGCCGTTCGATAAGATTCATAGAAAGACTAAATTAATGTAGAGTGACAATTTTTAAAAACTATCCGTTGGGGGTGTAATCTAATATCTCGGGAACGGTGTACCACAAAAATATAAAACCTGTGCCATTAAGTAAGACTTGTGGAAAGACTAATTTACCGTATAATAATTTTTAAAAAACCACTCCTTCGAAGTGAAATCTAATATCTCGAAAACAATGTAAGACCAATTTACCGTATAATAACAATTTTTAAAAAATCCTTCGAGGTGAAATCTAATACCTCAAAAACGGTGAACCACAGAAATGTAAAACCTTAGAAACGACGTATCATATGATTATTCGCTTCAGTATTTAATCGCAATATTTAATATAAATTACTTTAACAAGGGACAAATTATATGCTTACGTGAATTTATTAGAGTATAGCACAGAATAGTGTAACAAAAAAGAGAAGTGATACGTTAAGAAGTCAGGTTACTGTTGTTTAAAAACACAGATTAATAATAAATATATAAAAATGATAAAAATGATAAAAATAATAATAATAATAACAATAAATAAATAAGAGTAAATAAATAAAAGTATAGTGTGGAATAAGGAAGAGAAGTAGTGTGTAATAATGTATCAAGGAAGAGAAGTGACATATTAAAAGTTATTATCAAGCGACGCGACAGCATCACGACGCCAAGTACATTTATTAGTATATTATATAATACAGATATTATATAATACAGATCATATAAAACACAGATGTGTGTGTCTGTGTGTGTGTGTATGTAGCATTTAACAACAATCAAGTGGATTGTGAATTTTGTAGTATTTATTAAAAGGTAAATATTGTGAAATTTTTCTCATTTCTGTTTAGACATAATATATTTTGACATATTATATATTAATCTTAATAAAGAGAATGGACAGTTATCATTTTGTGGAAAGTCTAGAGAGCGGGATGAAACTCTTTTCCATTTTTAAGTGATACTGAAAATAAACTTTCTGGAAAGAGATTGAGAGAATACTATAAAGATATTTATTTAATTATCATACTGTAAGGACTATCGCACAAACTTTTTCATAACATGTTGTTGTATTACATTAAATATTGATCATAACTTAGATTCATACATAATTTTAAATTTCAATCAACTTATGATCTTAAAAGAAGTTGATTAGTTTTTTAAATTAAAAATTGGCGAATGCAATCGATGTTATTGCAGTAAGCGTTAAAGGCTTTTTAAGGCTTACTATTTATAATCTGCAATATAAAATCCGCAATATATTAGTGCAATATAAAATCCTCAATATATTAGTGCTAATTCATATACAGGGTGTCGCAGACCACCCGCATCAACTGAAAAAACTCTCAAAAACTGAGCGCGGCAGACAAAAATATTTCAGACAAAAATTGTATGGCTTGAAGGGAGACAGAGATGCCATTAATGGTGCCATTAGTTTCACCTTGAAGAGTCACTTGAACGTCACATGAAGGTCACCTCCAACTTTTTAAACGGGACATCCTATATACTTTTGCATATTCTTGTAGCTTACCTCAAGAGCTTTCCAAAACACTATAAAGCATAATATAATATTTTAGAATAAAGTATTTTTTCATTGAATACTTTTCAAGTTATGAGGCTTGAAATAATTTTTTAATTTTACATAAACCGTAAAGTATCTTGTAAAATATTCATCTTTCGATTATCTTACCTTAATACATTTATGCATAAAATAATGAGAGGAATCGATTGGTGTAAAGAAAAGAACACATTTCGGAGAAAAACTATGTATAATAATTTGCAATTAATAATTATATATTTTTTCTCAAAAATAACTATGTTTTTTCTTTACACCATTTTTCAGCCTAACGAATAATTGCTAGAAAACAATATTCACAGGCTAGAAAAATGTGAGACGTAAGTGGCTGAATCGGAAATCGAACCCGAGTCTTTTGCTTTCCGGGCAACTGCTCTAGACCACTGAGCTATCCAGACCTCACACCTAATGCTGCTTTTTAATACAGTGATATGCGACTTCAGAGCGATATTGGTATCTCACTCGATGGATGTAATGCCGATTGTCATGGAGGATCCCTGAAAGGTCGCTCGCTGACCAAATAAATGCCGATGGAGGTATTCGCGTACATGCTGGCTTTCGACTGACCTTCCGTATGAACGGCACCGACAAGCACAACGCCGTAGAGTGACCACATTCCCCTTTAATATATACTAAAATCCCCACTGTACCAACTAACAGTGGCGGATGGACCCTAAGATAGAGCTGGGGCAAGCCTCCAGAAAAAGATAGGGATGTATGTGGGCGGAGGTCGGACGTGTCTTTACGTCCATTTGATGAACGAGCGACAGAATCCATTCATGGCATTGACGCATATCCTGTGGAGAGAGCATTCACACATTTTCCAGTCTAATGAATAATTGCTGGAAAACAATATTCGCAGACTAGGAAAATATATGAAGCGCAAGTGGCTGGCAAAAATATTTACATTAAATCATACATCGTTATATTCATTTCAAACAGCGCTACAACTTTTATTATATCAAAATATCTACATTGTTATAAAAAAATTATGCATATCTCTCCGTTTTTCAATACAGATAAATTTTGTAATCAATCACAACTCACAATCTATACTCGCAATAAAGTTCAGTTCAAGTCATTTAATTTCATATATATTTGTTATGGTCTATCTCTTTTAAAAGATAAAAGGGGGTGGCCACTTCTAGGTGGGACACGCTGTATATATATATATATATATATATATATATATATATATATATTATTTTTATATTTTTATTTATATATTACTTTATATATAACTTTATTATAAAAATTGAAAAAATAAACAAGTATAAATAATAAAGTAATAATAATATAAATATAATTTTTTGCACATTTTAATACATTTATTTAGTTTTGCGAAACAACAGAAAATGCCTTCCAACTGCTATTTAAAATATACATAAAATTATTTAAGCAGCGTTAGAGGGATTTTCTCTAAATAAACACTCTTTAATTTCACTCTTCATTTCTGTGAAAATTTTATTGAGAATCGGTGATGTCAATGGAATCGTTATGTAATGTCAAATTGTGCCGAATATAGTCGAATGTTGACGGAATTAACCGAAGTTCATGTACCTCCCCCCTTACCGCATTTATCAATTACCCCTCTAAAAAGGTTCCGTTTATCTATTCAGATATCAATGGTTCAGCCTTTTAAATTCACACGTGTAATTGCTCGCATATCGATCAATTTGGCATTTAATTAACAATCGTGAATTGTAATTGTTTTATAGAAGCTGTGCGATGTGATTACAAATGTCGCGTAATAATTTATGCTGACGATCTCGTTAATGTTACATTATAGTGTGCACATGTTTTCATCTTGCATTCGAGTTGTTCGATCTATCGACGATCGTTAGCGCTGAAGTGTTTCAGTGTGGACGCGCGGTGGGATTTGGTTCACGTCGGGATTCGAACACGCGAGGATTGGAAGAGAACGCTTTCTTTCTATCCCGTGATTCTATCCGTCGATGTGACGATTGGATGCGATTTTAACTGAAGGCCGAGAACGCTCGACGGAACTGAAATGGCCTTTCAGTCCGTTTGGCAGTCAAGATATGTAGGAAAACATGTCCATAAGATCAAGAACATTCGGTGTAGACAGAATTACTCTTCATCTTCTGTTCTCATGCATGCTGAGGATCAGAATGTTGGAATACTCTCTCCGCACTGTACCAACTGGAGTAGAATCAAATCCTTTTTCATACAACGCCCGTGTAAGAATGTATCCCTTAAACTGTCGAAGGTCCTTCTTATACGCGGGATAATTACCCGCGCCAGCGCAAATGGTTTACCGACTCCAAATGGCGAAATGGAACGATACAGGATATTCGAAGAGGTGGCGGATGCGGGCTGTTTATCCATATTGACATATTGTTGGGGCCTTTCGACAGCCCTCGTGATGTTCGGTCGAAGGAATTTTCGAAATTTTATAATTTATAAACCGCATCCCTGCCTCTGCCCGATCGATGGTCATCAGGCGGCAGCTTCCGACTGGTGGATGGCTGGAATCTCGGAACAAGACGCTTTTCAGATCGCATCGTTACAATATAAACATATAAATAAAATATAAAAGTAATTATGAAAATTCCAAATCGCATATTTCAGGAATCAGAACGGAATGCCTCATTTGAACAATGTATATTATTTAGGAATACACCCTTTATAATATATATCTAAGTGAAAATTATCTGCGCTGTATAATTTGAAGTGAACATTTATTGAAGTGAACATTTATTTGTTTATATAAAGAAGTATGGCTATATATTTTTCTTCAGCACATTTCTGAATAATTCAATGATTTTATATGACTTTTTATATACATCATATTCAAACAGAAAGAGACTTGTTAAATAAATCCGTGCGTATCTTTTTACATACACACACACGCGCGCGCGTGTGTTTGTATATGTATGTATAGCATTTTTACGTACATTGTCTCATTATGGCTGCTATTGTTAATTTCTTATTAATATTATTGTCCATTTATGTTTAATCCGGCAATAATTTAAATATTATCAAATTAAACATATTAAGATATTTCTATAAGTAATTGTAATAAAATAAGATACTCATATATTTGATGCATATTTTCAGTGATATTTTCGTAAGTGGATCCGAGTGGTGTGGATGTTTCTATAAAGCCGAACGTCCATGTGCTGCTGTGCGTAGACGATCATCGCCAGATTCTGCACCATCCTGCGATTCGCGAGGATATTACCGTAGTACTCAATGTCATCGTGGCCTTGGTCTTTGTTGGTGCGTCGATCCGCATGGAGTTGAGTTTGCTGGTACTAGAACACGTGGTACAAGACCGGATTGCGGTATGTTTGATATCAGCACTTAAAAATGATAAAATGTTATTTTATATTATATTATTTTATATTATATTATATTATATTATATTATTTTATATTATTAATTACATATTTTCAACATATCTAAAACATATATAGAACAACATATATAGAAAATAATAAGAAACAAATAATATAATCTTTTCATTCGAAGAATTATAGATGTAGAATGTTATTGCGCATTTAATTTAAATTTCAATAGTACAAGTGGTAGTATTAAATACAGCGATATTCTTTATTAAAAACTAAAATAATTTTTCTTGTATTAAAATCTAATTATATGCTATGTCTTGTAATTTTTAAAACGTCAAAATTAAATACCTTCATAATATGTAACATACATTTAAAATTAATATATTCTATTCGAGTGAAATTTATACTTTAAAATTAAAAAATCAATCAATCAATTATTTCTTATATATTGTTAAAATATGAATAACCAGTTACATGTTGAGAATGATTCACATACTCTTTTTGTTAAACATTATTTTTGTAAAACTATTTTTGTTAAACATATTATTATTCTATTTTTCGAAAAGCAATAGCGTATATGTTTAATATATTCATTAAATACTATTACTAATGATATTATTAATGCTATTGTACTAATTTAATTTAATACTATTATATTAATATTAATTTACTAATGATATTATTAATGGTATTATATTCTATTGGGTCAGTCAAAAAGTTAAACTTTATTTTTGAATAAAACTTGATTTTTGAGTAAAGTGACTTTATTTATACTTTATTTACAATAAAAAACAATTTATTTATCGATTAATCCATACAGCACAAAAGCTTGCAGCAACATTAGGCTATATTTCCGAATAGAATACTCTTCCGATTGAGATGAAACTTTGCACACAGTCTAGAGAGATCATATTAAGATTAACTCTCAAGGTCGCAAAAAAAGTTTTGTAAATAATATATAATTTTTGGACACCATGTATATATTGACTATGTTATTCACTTAGACACAAAGAGATGTGGGATAAACTTCACTCCGCGTGGAAAGTTCTAAACCATTGCGAAATAGATGTCATATCGAAATTTCTATTCGTATGGTTTCACACAGATTTGCAAGTTTCTACGCCAAACGAAGTCAACTTCACTCCTAAGTTAGTGAGAAAGATCTATTATACGGTTCTACATCTTATTATACGGTTCTACATAGGTTTGCAACATTCCACACAAAGCGAGTTCCACCTCTGAGTCAGTGCAAAACAACGTTTATCATTGTATGGTTCCATATGGGTTTGTAACTTTTCATATGAAACGAGATTTAGAGCACTGCCTTGTGCCCTAAGTACATATGATCAATATGCACATGGTGTCCGAGAATTATATGGTAAAACTTTAGAAAAAGATTCATTAGGGTCGAATCGTCTTGATCTTGACATATGTTAAGGTCATTGTCTTGAGTAACATTCAAAAGATTTTAGCTGTTGCTCGTTGTTTATTAAAAAGTTATTAACAAAATATACAATATAACGTATACAACATGTGACGTATACAACATACGAATTCCTAAGCAATTGATTTGACTTCTAAGAAAGAAGATCAAGATTATTTTGATTTTCTATGTAAATCGAGGTCCATCCCACACCACCTCTGAGTCAGCGCGAAACGAGATCTATATTGTATGGTTTCATATGGATTTGCAACTTTCCATGCGAAGCAAGATCCACCGCACACCACCTTTGAGTCAGCGCGAAACGAGGTCTATATTGTACGGTTCCACATGGATTTGCAACTTTCCATGCGAAGCAAGGTCCACCGCACACCACTTCTGAATCAGCGCGAAACGAGGTCTATTATTGTATGGTTCCACATGGGTTTGCAACTTTCCATGCGAAGTGAAGTCTACCGCACACCATCCTTGAGTCAGGGCGAAACGAGGTCTATACTGTATGGTTCCACATGGGTTTGCAACTTTCCATGCGAAGCGAGGTCTACATCACACCATCCCTGAGTGCAAAACGAGGTCTATATTGTACGGTTCCACATAGATTTGCAACTTTTTATGAGAAGCGAGGTTCACCGCACACCACTTCTGAATCAGCGCGAAATGAGGTCTATTATTGTATGGTTCCACATGGGTTTGTAATTTTCCATGCGAAGCAAAGAATCATAAACCTCGTTTCGCACTGATTCAGAGATAGTATGAGATAGCCCTCCCACACATGACATCCATTGGAGCTTCATCTCTTCCATATCTTCATGTGACCTCTATCTCCATGGTGGATGTTCAATGGATCTCTAATAGAAATCCATATTATCTCCGGTAGATGTCGTATGTACAATAGATCCATCATGGATGTCCATTAAACATCGGTTATGGATGTATAATAGATATGTATATATTTCTTTTAACACAAAGTAAAAGTGTAATTTCTAAGTATTATTTAAAATTCTCACTCAATATTTTGAAAATATATTGAAAATTTGTAGTATTTTATATTTTATTTTTAGCATTTTAAAAATTTTTACACAAAATATAAATTTTTATTGAAAACTTTTAATAAATTCTAAATATCTCTATAATTAACAAAATTTTACTAAAAAGATTTTCTTTGCTGATAAAATTTTTTTACATAATTTATAATATATGTTAATTATTATATTAGGAAATAGAAAACCTTTAATTTTTTAATTAAAACTGAAGATAGCTAAATTTATTACATAATTGTATTTCATAAAATGGTAGTTCTTGTTAATATAATTATTTAAAAAAAAATAAATAAAAAACAATTTTTATCTAAACAAATTATGATTTTTATTCATTATTTTTTCTAATATTTATAAATATTATTTTTTGGTATTTTATTTTATATCTCACTAATAATTATAGTCAGTGGAAGTTAATTTCACTGTAAAATCAGTAATCGCGCTAATTTGTTCGTTTACCGCTATGGTACGCTCTTTTTCTCGTACTTGAGTTTTAGTCATAAGAATTATATAAAGCTTGCAAAAGGCGACAGATAAAATTAAAAGTATTACTTTGATCTAATTTCTAATACAGTTTCAATAGAAGAACTTGAGATATTAAATCGAGTTTAGAAGTCAGACAAGTAAATGTCCGGCCAATAAACGCAAATGATCCGTTCATTATCTATTTAAGATGCATGTTCAATATGCACCAGCCATTGAACAGCATGCACGCGAATACCTCCACCGGCACTTACTTGGTCAGCAAGCGACCTTTCAGGGATCCTCCATAGCAATCGGCATTGTATTCATCGAATGAGATATCAACATCGCTCTGGAGTCGCATATCACTGTGTTAAAAAGCAGCATTAGGTGTGAGATCTGGATAGCTCAGTTGTTTAGAGCAGTTGCCCGGAAAGCGAAAGACTCGGGTTCGATTCCCGATCCAGCCACTTGCGTCTCATATTTTTCTAATCTGCGAATATTGTTTTCTAGCAATTATTCGTTAGGCTGAAAAATGTGTGAATGCTCTCTCCACAAGATATGCGTCAATGCCTTTACCACGGATGGATTCTGTCGCTCGTTGATCAAATGGACGTAAAAACACGTCCGACCACATACATCCCTATCTTTCTCTGTCCATATAACATTTAAAAACGTATTTTTATAACCTCTATACGACGTCCATGTGGCATCTATGAATACGTCTAATGGATGTTGAATAGAAATAAGAAATGCGGAACTGTGGATCTCTAATAGACGTCTATAGGAGGTTACATGGGCGTATAATAGAAGTTTTAAATCTCCATGATGGACGTCTAATGGACATTCATTAGAGGTTTTTGTTCCGTGTGGGCCTCGTTTCGCATAAAAAGTTGCAAACCTATGTAGAACTGTACAATAGTAGACATCGTTTCGCGCTGACACAAGGTGGTGTGAGATGGACCTCCCTTTGCATAGAAAGTTAAAATAACCTTGAACTTCTTAGAAATCAAATCAACATTGCTTGTGAATTCGTATAGTCGCATGTTGTATATACGCTTTTGTTTATAAATTTTTAATAAACAACGAGCGACAGCTAAAATCTTTCGAATGTTACTCAGGACAGTGACCTTGACAACTTATGTCAAGGCCAAGACGATTCAACCTTGGTGTCTTTTTCTAAAGTTTTACCAATTATATATTATTTACAAACCTTTTTTGTTAGTAACTTTTGAACAACAAAGAACGGCTAAAACTTTTTGAACATCATTATTACCTTTAAAACACATGTCAAGATCATTAGCTGGTTCTGTTTTTTTTTTATAAATTTCTATTATTTTGTAATATTTTATTTATAACTTTTAAACAATTGAAAAACGCAGATGTGCGATCTTGAGCATATCCAACTGACCTTAATACATATAATCTCACTAGGCTATGTGCAAAGTTTCATCTCAATCGAAAGAGTGTGTCATTCGAAAGAACACTGCAACATTACAATGTAATGTTGTAGAGATATTACAAAAACATTATTTTACAATATTACTTCAGCAATGTGTTACAGCAATATTTTAAAATATTATTGAAATGCCAATATATAGGCAGGTACGCGTATTACGAAGTTACATTCTAAGATATTCAATATTGAACAATTATAATTTATAGTTTATTACATATATTAATTTTTCATAGTATTTATTCGGAAAAGAGGCGACCTCATCGTTTTCAATGACCTTAAAATATGTTGTCAAGGTCATTATTTTGAACAACTCTCCCTATACACGTTACCGCCGCTCGACTTTAGTTTCCAAGATATACGCAAAAATATTTATAACACCATATATTTAATGGTATGTTGCTTTTTGGGGTTTGAGTTAAATTTAAATTATATTAGAATTAATTTTAATTTATATTTGCTTAAAGGTAAATCTAGAAAAACGACAATCTCATCATATGTCAAGGTCATTGGTAAGGTTGCCATTCGTCTAGATATTTACCTTACTTTTTTAATGAAGGCAACTTTAAACTAATGAATATAAGCATTTTGAATTACG